CCCCAAAACCCCAAAACCCCAAAACCCCACAGTGTGATTTTACTTCAACGTCAAGATGAAGAATCTTTAAATAAAGTAATCCAGAAAAAAATAAAATGAGTAAATTATTTATCAGATAACTTTAATATTAAAGTTCCAAAGTCATAAATATTTATATAATGTATAAGACTGAAGTTTAATTTCTTCGAGAGCAGCCAGACTCTCTAAAGATTTTAAACATCGATTACTCTAGCCTTGAATATTATCATTCAAATATTTTCCAAAAGTAATAAAGTACCGCTCATTATAAGCCAATTATGAAAGGGGAATTAGGTTTAGCTATGAATTATTTAGTAGTAAAAAAACAGGCAAAGGAAATAAATAGCTCATAGCAAGAGTGAGAGAGTTCTCTGTATTGGTTAGATATATAATTTTGGAGGATGAGCACTTTTCAATTTTCTGCCTAGTAAGAGAGACAACTAGAAATATAACTAATCAGTTGTGACTATTAATATAGTTTACTTCTGGGTTTTTGAGAAATAGAGGATAGAGGCAAATTTGAATCTCTTCTCTAAAAAATCTGTATAATTGAACATCCACCATTAAAGAAACAGTACTCTTTTAAGAAAAAATTAGGGAAGGGTGGATAGGCTCAGGTCGACCTTTATCACGCAAATGAGGATCCAGATGACGAATATGCTGTTAAAACATTTTAGATAAAATTGAAGGATAATACTAGTGAAATATACAGAGAAATTCAATTTTTGAGAGAGTTAGAAATTTGCAATAATATTGTCTAGTTGCATTCTGTTTACAGAGAAATCGATAAAATCCATCTAGTAATGAGTTTTGCAAAATACGGTCCATTAATTGATCATTTGTACAATAATAAGTTACTAGTTGAGAACGATATAAAAGTTATTATGGGATAGCTAATACTAGCCGTGGACCTAATGCACAAAAAAGGAATTATACATCGTGATATTAAACCAGACAACATTCTAGTGGTTAATCAGGATAATTTGCAGGTGTGTATAGCTGACCTCGGGCTGTCGTGTAAAGTGTCAGAGAATGAGATATTGGCAAAAAAATGTGGTACACCAGGCTATGTGGCCCCTGAAATACTAATGGGAAAAAATACTTCTCTGAAAAGCGACATATTTAGTCTGGGTTGTCTGTTTTATAATTTATTAACAGGCTAGGTTCTTTTCTGGGGCTAGAACAAGAAAGAGATATTGAAGAGCAATTAGTACGCCAATCCATGGAAGATAATTGATAGTGATGAGCTCTCTATATCGTAAGAATGTATGGAACTGTTAAAATGGATGCTGCATAGAGATCCTAATTAAAGGCCCTCTACGGAAGAGTGTCTTAATGTAAGATTCACCAGTGTAACCTATAATATAGCATAAATGGTTTTAGCAAGATCGGGAGGCACTTTAAAATTCTCTCTGGGTAAATAAATTCGCCTCAAACGCTAGAAAGAATCCCCGCTAATTATATGACGAGCTAATATTGCAACCAGAATTGCATTCATTTATTTATGCACCTAACTTCTATAGGCCTGATTAAAATTCCTTTTGGTAATCTATGAATGAAGGCGATATGTCTTGTGGAGGAGGCTTAACAAGAAAAAGGGATATGTCGAATCCCCATAGCAAGGACAACTTTAAGATTTGTTACAGTAAAGCACTTTAGAATGCTAGACTCTCAAATTCTCCATGCAATACAATTAAAAATAACTGGAGTTCTTTCGGAAAAGACAACTACGATTTCAAAACAGCAGCAGCGCAAAAGTTATTTGAGATAAAGCCTTAAGGTGCAGTAGCTGCTCTACATGACTAAGTTTTGTAGTTAAGCAGTCCATTAAACGCTAAACGAGTTTAGCTATAACGCTTGGAAGAGTAAAAAGAGGAGGATGAGGAAACATTTCAATTTAGACATGATGATTTTGAGGAATATCCAATTTAAAAATATTAGTTCTAGCATGCTCAAGATATTTAACTTAAGCTTAAAAATCGAATTGAGATTGATAGAGTTTTGAATTATGACAAATCTCTCTGGTACAAGAATCAAAGAGACAAATAGGTTTTAGTCAGAGGGTACACATTTGAAAATATAGGTAGGAAAATGATATTATGAGTAAAGATGAATTTTAATAATGTGCGACTGTACATAAATATTACCTGATATATGGAATCTATTAAGGTTCTTGATTAAATTATATCGAGTACTATAAATCTTCAATCATTTAGTATGCATTAATAATTTTAATAGTGTTTTTAATTCTTTAAATAGAAATATTTGCTTTGAAACCTGCAAGTGGGGTTTTGGGGTTTTGGGGTTTTGGGG